GAGCAGCTGATGTAAGTGGTTTGCAGCTGTTGGGCTGTGCTGTGCCCAAAGCCCCTCAGGGCTCTGCCTCCCCTGGGGCACCGTGCCCTGAACCCCCCAGTGTGGTGCAGCCCAGCAGCTGCAAGCAGGTGGCATCCACCGCTCCCAGGGCTGCAGCAGGGGTAGGCAGTTGCCTGCAGCCAGATGAGAGCAGGCTGGGGCCAGCAGCTGCTACTGCTGCTGCTGGCTCAGGTCAGCGGCAGCACCAGGCTCTTCCCGGCGCTCGTGGTGGGGTGAGTGGGGCTGCCACCCACCCTGAACCCCACAAAGAGCCCAATGCTGCCCCTGCTGCAGCCCCGGGAATGGCAGATACCGCCTGCTTGCAGCCACTGGGCTACACCACACCCCTCTCCCTGCTCCTTCCCTAGCCCCAGCCTCACTCCTTCCCTCCCTCCCTCCCTGCCCTGGGAATGCATCCCTATCTGTTTCATTGTAAACTGGGTTTGCTTTAAGCAAATTCGATTTATGTGCTCTTCCCTGGGAACGCATCTTCCACATAAATCGAGGCAAACCTATTCTGACTTTGTTGCCTTAGAACTTTAATAGATAAAATGAATTATTGCAGCCTAGCTTTCTTTTTTATTCATAGCTTTTTATCAAGACCTCTCGAGACTTTCCAAATAATTTTAAATTACATTTTAATACTATAAACATATTTTTTATTGAAATATTATTGTCTTGGGTGGGGGGAACAACTCATGGATATTTGCTTTTAATTAAGAACATGCTTTTTCCTAAAGCTCTAATCTTGTTTTCCTGGATTCCCACTTGCATCTGATCCTCTTGGAATTTCTATTCCATCTCTGGAAACACATCTTGACCGTGACCATTTAATCTCCCATTGACTCTTATTAAAACTTGTCTTTCTCTATTCAGTTTGGTAGTTTCTATCACTATCTTTTCCCTTACTCATTCTCCGAGCAAAAAAGCTTAATTGGTTGTCTGGAGTTTTTCTCCTGTTTTGAAAGACATGATTTGTTTCTGTTCTGTTCCTTCTTTCTCAAGTGACTATAACCTATTGACTGCCTGGCTGACCCTTCTACTTCATCACTTTCAAAGACAGGCTTTTTTCCCGTTCTTTTCACCTCAATACCCAACTGCAGTGCTAGGCAACTTCAGTTTTCATGTTGATTACTCAAATACTTTTGTGCCTTTTGCTAATTTCATTTGAACCTGCTCTATATTTCATTTTAATTTTGTCCCATAATTTGACATATCTAATCTGAAAACTTGCCTCTCCTCCAAACCATTTTATTGTTCTTAAATGGATCTACACATTTTTGAAGAGTCTCCACATGTGCACTTCATTAAGTCTGCTTTGCTCATATACTTAATGTCAAGTAAGTCCTTATGGCCCCAATATCTATTGCATAAAGCCCTTCATTAAAGCCTTATACAAACTCAATAATTATAGTTTAGATATACACAATGAACTGAATGACAGTGAGGGGGAAAAAAAGCATTAAAGGGCGGGTCCAGGCAAACACGCACATGCCACAAGAGGCATGCTGGGAACAAAAAAATGTTCCCCATGCTGCATATTTGTAGCATGGGGTCAAAATTTGATACCTGGAAATCCAGGTACCAAAAAAAATTTAAAAACAAAAAATGCAGAAAAAATGTGGGGCAAGGCACGGTCTAGGACCATGCCCTGAGGCAACTGGAGGCTGGGGTTCTCCAAAGAGACGGTCTGGTAGCTGGCCAGAATGTCTCTATGGCTGCCGCTTGCCCTGGTGATGCAGCATGCTGCCTCCCCGTGCAGAGAAAGAGCAGTGCAGGCTGCAGCATGATTGGACTGGGCTCTGTCTAAGGTAAGTAGGGACTGGGGGCGGGGCCTGGAGCGGGGGCTGTGTGGGTGTGATGGACTGTGGGGGGTAGGGGGGGCTGCTTGGGAGGGGTGGGTCCCCTGCCTGCCCCCTGAATAGCCCACTTCCCCTCCGCAGCAGCAGCGGTCATTGGGGCACTGAGGGCCCTCCTGACACTGCCCCCCCAGGTGTGGGGCAGCACGGCTCCGTTCTGGCCACATATCACCTGGCACTGCCTGTGTCACATTGCACAGGGCCGTGCGCCTTTGGGCGGCTCCAGGCTGTTCAGGCTGTCACCTGGGGCCTGGTGCTGCTCTCAGGGACAATGTGTTGCGGCAGGGGGGACAAGCCCCTCGTGCTGTTGGGCCAGGCCGGTTCCATGGAGGCAGGACCCAGCCTGGAATAACACGTGGTCCCTGCAAGTGGTGCCAGGCCCTGGGTGGCAGCCCAAGAGGCCTACAGCTGCCTGAAGGTGCACAGCCCTGCGCCAAGCTGGGCCGGGCAGGCTGGGCCCACGCGATGTGGCACAGGTAGAGCTGGGTGCCAGGTGGCTGGGGCCAAGCTGCATTGTCCTGCACCATGGGGCGGGGTGTGCCAGGAAGGCCCTGAGTACTCTGATGGCTGCTGCTGCTGTGTAGGGGGCGCAGCTGTAGGCTGGGGGAGGCATGTGCCCTGTGGAGGGGCATGTGTGCCATGGGGGCAGCCATGTGTGCTCTGTGGAGGCTGGGGCTCTTAGTGAGCCATGCAGGGGGTTCACCTTTTGCGGGGGGGACCAACCCCTCCTGAGCAGCTCCCCACCCTCACACAGCCCCCCCACACCCAGAAAACCCCTGGAAGCCACCCACAAACCCCATATCCCCAAACCACCCCAAAAACCCCTCACCCACATACCCAGCCACAAACCCCAAACCCCCGCACAAGCCCCATACCCCCACACACCTCTCCCCCACAAACCCAAACCCCTCCCTTCACCCCCATGCCCCTTCCCCCACAAACCCACATCCCCCCGCAAATCTCACACCGTGTGCCCAGCTGCCAAACAGGATGGGACCTGCCGGCAGGATCCAAGGCTGCAGGGGCAACTGCCACACTGCAGTCCTGCCTTGTGCCCACACCAGTGCTGGGACATGCAGCCCCAGGCTGGGGGGCTCCCAGTCCCAGGATCCACTTGGGAGATGTGATGGGCTGGTGGAGTTGGGGGAGGTCCAGGCAGGAGAGGCCACCAGAGCCAGGCTTAGAGCCCCGCTAGAGCAGCCTGTGCAGGAGAAGGCCAGCCTGGGAATAAAGGGCCCAACTCAGTCCCTGAACCCCAGTCAAGGGCTTCCCAGGGACAGCATGAGGCAGGGAGCAGAACAGCAAGGGTTGGCACTGCTCAGAACCACGAAGCAGTGGGTGGGACAGCTGCAGCTGGACGCATGTCCTGCTGCGTCCTGCTGCTGGGACAGAGCTGCTACTGGGAGGGAGCTAGTGGGGGCAGGCAGGGACTGCGGATCAGGAGTGAGGGGACTGGGGGGGGGAGGGGGAGGGAGGGGAGGGGGGGCTGTGGGTTGATTGTGAGGGGCAAGGGTAGGGCAGGGTACTGGCATATCACTGCTGCTGAGTGCTGCACATCCTGGCGAGTGAAGGGGGTAGGGGCAGCTCTGATTTTTCTATAGCAAAAAACCTAAAGTAAATGCCAAAGAGTATAGATATTTAGAATTCATTCTATTATGATGATAGAGCCACTGGTAGGCTTTCAAATTGTTTTAAACTTGTAAATATATCAATAAAACATTGCCCAACTGATCTTTATATATAGTGGCATTTCATTTTAGTAGCAAAAGAACATAAGTTTTGATATTTTAATGAGAGAATTTGGGTTTCTTATCAAAGAATTTGCAATTTCTAAACAGGGAACACCAGGATCTCTGCTGGTGGGGCACCTGTGCTGGCCTCAGGCTCTAGCTCCCCTGGCTGCAGATCTGAGAGGAGCTGGGCAGGGTCATTTTGCCCCAAGTGGCACAACTTGTCCCACACCAAAGTGCATGTCCAGGCATGTGTGCTGAGGCAAAAATCCCCACCACAAATTTGTGCTGCTCCTATCTGAGCTGCTGCAAGTACGTATGCCTATATGTGTGGATGCTCCCCAAGAGTACAAAAAGGCTCAATTTAAAATAATCAAGACCATAATTCTGCTTATATAGTACTAGCAGCCTCAGTTCTTCCTTTGTTTTCTCTCTACCCATCTTTCAGCATGTATTGTTTTTAGATCAATAGATTATATAAGCGATTAAGTAAATGTGCGCCTAAAGTTGTGGGCATCTTAAATCTTGAAACTCATTGTATTGACAGATAATAATATCATCAATTTGCCTTCATCATGGTGCAAGGCAACAATTATTTATATTTGGACAAAAGCAGAGTTGTATAGTTTGTGGATGGAGGTAAAGGCCCGCCTTTGCCACCGAGGTCACTATGGCTGCCTGCAGGCAGTACCCACTCACAGTCGCCATGTCCCCGCCGCCAACACTGCCACCGCTGCCTGTGAGTGGTCGCTGTGCCCCCCTCAGCCTCAGGAGGCATGCGTTGTTCATGCACATGTAGCTATACCTCTTCTCATCTGCAAACCCCATACTCTAGTAGTACCCATTTACTACCTTCCTCAGGCATTTTCACTCTGAGGACTCCTCACATAATTTTCCCTCTGCACCATCCTCTGCCAGATAATTTTTCTATGACTTCCAAAACTTTAACCCATCCTCATTCACATATCGCCCCCCATCAGCTCCTCTATTTATTCCTTAGGCATTGGCTTGGTTGATGACTTGGCCCCCAAGATCTGCATATCTGGCAACTTTTCTGCTACCTACCCCTGTCTCCAGTTGTGTGTGTTCCCCAGTCTCTTCCTTTTCTGGATCTTCCTCACCACTGTATAGAAGAGTGTACAAAATATTAACCTTGACTGTCTACATTGCAACTGCAACTGCCACAGAGAAACTGCCAACACACATATATACCTCTGCAACGCCACTACAGAAGAGCGG